ACCCGCGGGTCCGGAAACGCTCGCGGTCACAAAGGGGGGAACACGTGGGCGCCGACGGCTCGGGCCGCTGTCGCAGGGAGCTAGGGTCGCCCGGAGAACCGCCTGCCGTCCCTGCCCGCCCTACTCCTCGGCCTCGGCCGCCAGGCCAGTCCAGCTTCGGCCGGCGCCCGGCTATGAGGTGGATGTTCGGCTCAGTGTGACTACTTCCCTTCCAGTACGTACCAGCAGCCCGAACCCGCGTCCTACCGGACACCGAGGGGCTCCGACTAGCTTCTCACTCCCCAAGGACCCGCGATCATGGGAAGTCCCCCACTGTCATTGCCACTCCAAGACCTGGGCCCTCAGCTCTTGAGACCCGATCAGACCCTTAGTCCTGGGGGCTTCGAGCGCCTGAGGAAGAGGAGCTGCCGATAGGATAGGTCTCTTGTCGATTCAAGTGGGACTCCTCAGGGTCTCTCAGTCTTACCCTGTTTCTCTTTCTCCTTAGGATTTTTCCATTTCGTTCGGACCTCCTGCATAATCATGTCCATCCTCTACGTCTCCCCTCATCCCGATGCCTTCCCCAGCCTCCGAGCTCTTATAGCTGCTCGCTACGGGGAGGCTGGGGAGGGTCCAGGATGGGGAGGAGCCCACCCCCGCATCTGTCTCCAACCGCCCCCGACCAGCAGGACTCCCTTTCCCCCACCCCGCCTCCCCGCCCTGGAGCAGGGGCCTGGTGGGCTCTGGGTGTGGGGGGCCACAGCTGTCGCCCAGCTGCTGTGGCCAGCAGGCTTGGGGGGCCCTGGGGGTAGTCGGGCAGCCGTCCTCGTCCAACAGTGGGTTAGTTACGCTGACACGGAGTTAATACCAGCTGCCTGTGGGGCAACGCTGCCAGCCTTGGGACTCCGAAGTTCTGCCCAGGACCCCCAGGTGAGTGGGGAGAAGAAGCGGAGAAGGGGAGGAGGAAATTTAGAAGAAGGAAGTAAGCACTGGAGTGGGTAAGGTGCCAGGAAGGTAGCATGTCAGATGTCTAAAAAGGATTGATCATATTGCCACCTGGTATGGTAAACTTGGGCAGGTTTCTTAAACTCTCTAAGCCTTGATCTAATTGTGTCTGTGAAAATGAAAATTGAGAACATGTTGAGAAGATGCATGTAATCTAGTGCCAGTTGCTTTCAAGTCTCTGAGTAAAAGTTTGATGAATCTGAAATTGATACGGTTAGGGGTTACTGTGAATTGTAGGAAAAGACTGGGTGAAGGAGAGGTGAGAGGCAGTCATTCCTGGAGAGATGACAGTTGCTGGGAGATGAAGGAGAAATGAAATAAGGAAGGAAAGGAGGGGAAAGGAGAGATAATCACTTGGGATTATAACTAAATCCTTCCAGAGAAGGGCTGTGCCCTAGGGTTCTTAGGACACCATATTGAGCGCATGGTGGATACTTAGTATTCTCTGAATGAATGAATGAAATGCATGTATGGCTTAGATCCTGGCTTGCTCCCTCATACCCTGACTACCTTATGTCAGTCGAGGCCCCCTCTCTGAAATTCTCTGTACCCCTCAACCCAATTTATTTTCTTCATAGCACTTAAGAAGAAAAATTGGGTAATGCATTAGGTATTTGCACATTTATTGTCTTCCCCACTAGAATGTAAACTCCATTAGGTCAGGGGCTCCATCTATTCAGACTGTCTCCTCATTCATTGGAGAAGTGTCTGGTATTATTAAGTAGGTACTCAATAAATATTTACTGAAGCAATTATTGTGTTGCCTCATGTAATCTTTAACTCCCTGTGCTTCATATATTGCACCTGACATATAATAACTGTTCAGCAGGAATTTATTGAATGAATGGGAAATATTTTTATTATGACTCTGTCAGTGCAGAAGAAACTGGCCTTAGATGTGGAGGTTTGTGGGAATGGAAGGAGGCCAAATGGATTGAGTCGGGGTGGGGATTGAGGTGGGCCAAGCCTTATCTAATACACCTTTGCCTTCCTGCTAGGCTGCACTGGGGGCCCTGGGCAGGGCCCTGAGCCCCTTGGAAGAGTGGCTTCGGCTGCACACCTTCCTGGCCGGGGAGGCCCCCACTCTGGCTGACGTGGCGGCTGTCACAGCCTTGCTGCTGCCTTTCCGATATGTGAGTCACTGGGGCCTGGGGCAAATGAGAGCAGGTTCCCTCAGACTTCACTATTGGTGAATAAGGACAGTTCATTTCTTTTCCCCATCCCAGGTCCTGGACCCCTCTGCCCGCAGGATATGGGGTAATGTGACTCGCTGGTTTATCACATGTGTCCAGCAGCCAGAATTCCGGGCCGTGCTGGGAGAGGTGGTTCTATACTCAGGGGCCAGGCCTCCCTCCCAGCAGCCAGGTGAGGAAGGGTGGGGGGTAGAAGGGGAAGGGTTTCTCTGGGGCCTTTTTATTCAGCTTCTTTTGTTTTTTCTCAGAAATGGCAGAATCACTGGGGCAGGGCCAGTGGGAAAGGTGGGAGGTCAACATGGAGGAGCCTTTGAGCAGCAGAAATAGCCCCTCTGAGACATAGTAGGACTGTTCACAGAGGATCCCCTGCAGGTAGGCATTTCTGTGCCTCTTTCCAGGCCCTGAGGTCCCTGCACACTCAAAGACAGCTGCCCAACTCAAGAAAGAAGCAAAGAAACGGGAGAAGCTAGAGAAATTCCAACAGAAGCAGAAGATGCAACAGCAGCAGCCACCCCCAGGGGAGGTGAGGGGCCAAGGGTGAGTTGGATGGAGGGTCAGTGCTGTGATGAGTGGCTGATTTCTGAGCCTATCTCCTTTCCCCTCTGAAGCAGAAGAAACCAAAACCAGAGAAGAGGGAGAAACGGGATCCTGGGGTCATTACCTATGACCTCCCAACCCCACCTGGGGAAAAGAAAGGTACTAGGAGGGGAAAGAGAGACCCCACTCTTCACCTCCACCCTTCTCTCTTTACCCCTCTTGCTGTCCTTGCTCCCACTACTGTGCAGGTTAGTGAGTATTTGCAGAGGCCCAGGTCATTCTCAGCTGGCCCATCGTCCCCTTCCCAGCTGCTCCCAGCCTGGGTTCTGATCCCTCCCTTCCTCACCCCCAGATGTCAGTGGTACCATGCCTGACTCCTACAGCCCTCAGTACGTGGAGGCTGCCTGGTACCCTTGGTGGGAGCAGCAGGGCTTCTTCAGGCCTGAGTATGGGGTGAGTGGGTGCTGCCACCCAGACCTGGAGGGGATGAGGGAGGGAAGCACAGGGCTGAAGGATATCTTACTCGGGAGGGGGCCTGAAGAGGTGACATGAGGCCTTAGCAACCGCCCATCCTTCCTCCCCGTCAGCGTTCCAGCGTGTCAGCACCAAATCCCCAGGGCATCTTCATGATGTGCATCCCACCCCCCAACGTGACAGGCTCCCTGCACCTGGGCCACGCGCTCACCAACGCCATCCAGGACTCCCTGACCCGATGGTGAGCTCCTGTCTTCTCCAGCTGGTT